TGATTTGTTTAGGCCATGATTCTGTGAGCTACATTGTTTTCCAAAGATTTAGACATGCCTAGTAACTTTGACTTTTCTTTTTAATAAACTGAGGCATCCAAATCATACTACAAATTACTTTTCAAATTCCACTACATTTCTAGCTATGATTTGGTATGTAATATGGGAGGTTGCTGTTCAGAAAACCTTTTTAGTCTAGTGCATCTGTAAATGAATGTGTTGGCCCATAGAAGACTCTTACAGCTGCTGATCAATCAGTTCTTGTTCTGATTTGTACCAAGTTGTCTTATATTAATCTATAAAAGTGATTCACCCATATTTAATGGTTTTAAGTGAATGGGATTTAAATGTCATAATTAGAAATTCAAACAAAAAATAATAAAACACTAAAATAAACATAGGCATGGGTTAAAACCAAAAAGCCAGACTTATTTATTTAAATCATAATTACAAAAAGCTGTCCAAAAAAGAGCATCCTATCCCCTTAAAAGTATGCTCTGGATCTGTCATGCTGCGGGGGAGAATCCAGTTCTAGAGTTGGGCATTATCCTTGGAAACACTCGTTTAACCTGGCTCACTAAAATAAGAAAAAGCAAAGCAAGCCAAATGGTCTTAAAATATTATTTCTATCTTTTGAAAATGTTACTTTATTATCAATGTATTATTGAATGAGTAGCATATTTTATTTTTTCAGTTTTTTTTAAAGAAAGCTGCAATCAAACTGAATGCAGTGGGCTTTATTGCTCAGTACACAAGCATAGCATTGCCCTGCATATTTCTTAACACATAAAATAGAATCAAACAACATATCCTTTAAAGAGAATCATAGAAAAGCCAGGATTAATGAAATCCTAACTTAAAATCCCTTTATGGTTAAAAAAAAACTAAATAGCCTTTTTAAATATAGCTGGGGCAGTCTCTTAAAGCCCCCAGCTGTAAGGACAGGTACCAGAACTCTGATTTAAAAGAAGAAGAAGCAGAAGCTAGTGCTGTCTACATCTGCATTTATGTATTGACAAATACAGTTTTTATTTTTGTACGTATATGCTTGAAATAGAGCTGCAACGTGAGCAGAGCAATCCTGTGGGTTTATAATAGTCCTAAATGGTGACAGAGGAGCAGCCAAAAAGTCCTGCTGAGTTTTGGTGGCAAAGCAGAAGGGAGGGAGGCGCATTTTCCTTTGTTTCTTTTTCTCAGCTGTTTTTCTTTTCCCAAATGTTCACTGTGAATTACTTACTCATAAGAAAGTATGCATACTGTACATCAGTAGCTTTTTCCTTTCTGTAACAATTGATATACAATATCAAAATTAAAAACAGTCTAAAGTTGTGTGCAAAACAGCCATGAACAGTGCCAGAAGATAGGAAGGCTGAATGAGTTTCCCAAAAAGATAGTAAAATCGCTACTAAGCAAAAATATTTGAGGTACCACTACAGAAAATCCTCTTTCCCTATCAGTCACTCACCTAACCTCTGAAGACAGAGATATGTGAAGTCCCTGCATATCTGTATAGGTATGCCTTTATTTACCTATATTTCATTGTAAAACACTCTGCATTATTGTGCATGATACCTGGGACAAGTAACTTGCCTATTCTAGCTAGGGTTACATTCCTCCTCTGAAACAGGTGGAAAGTCTGCAAGCACTTGCAAATTTGTAGTTGCTACTAGAAGCCCAGTTTCAGATAATACAGAAAGTACTGTCTTTTCTGAACAATGATAGTGTGGCCTTATGCATTGCTATCCTCAAGATCAAACTGCGGTAATATGTTTTATATGGGTCTGCCCTTGAGAATTCTTTCCAAGCAATAACTAGTGCAGAATGTAGTACTTAGGCTGAGTAAGATCTCTTTACCACACATTAGAATGCCTGCTCCAAAAGACCAGTGCTGGCTGCCAGAAAGTGTCATTTTGGTTTATAAGATTATAAATGACTCAGAATTAGGTTATTGAAGAACTGACTTTTTCCATATGGGCTTGCCTAGTCTTTATAGACTACAGAGTATGTCATGCTGATCAGACACAGCCTGGTCTTACTCCTTTAGTAATGGTGCAACCATTATGTAAAATGATCTCTAAACTAAGATTAGAATGGCTCCCAAAGTGATGGGCGTCCTCTAGCAATTTTGGGGCATACCCCTGACAATCTCATTGCAATAATCCATAGTATTTAATTTTTTACATTTTATTTTGCTACAATATATTATATTGTACTTTTGCTGATTTAATTGTAATTTTTTATATATGTAGTGTATGTATGTATGTGTGTGTGTGTGTGTATATATATATATATATATATATATATACATATATGATTTTATGTGTT